CCTTTTAATCAAGATCATTCCAATAGCTTTGCATTTAGACTTCCAACTGCATTATACATTCACAAACCATTTCTTTGTCAACACTGCGTTGGTACAATTATAATCTCCCAGGGATTAAAAAAGTATTCATTATTCTTTATCCTGATATAGTTTATCTCCATCAAAGATGCATTTGTAAGTTTTCCATGCTGATTCTTTCACATAAGTAATAATAAATTTAAAATGAATAACAATGAAAAGAAATCATCTATATGTCTGTATGTTGTCTTCTACAGTCTTCTGAGACTCAATTAGTTCCTACTTGACTATTTAGAAGAGGCATGTACACTTTGTGGATTTTTTCATATTTTTTCTCCTCTTATTCTTCACTTCTGAGCAATTTCATCCTTTACTAATAATGCCATAATTAGATGGGTAAGATAGATGAAAAGATGTAAAAATAGCAATAATAAACTTTGCTTTCTCTTAGGGAAAAATGTATCTCATAGTACAGCCTATGTTGTAAGATTTGACTAAAGAAAGAAAGACTGTTGATGTGAAATACGATTTCAATTAGATTTAAGCTAGTCATGCATTTATTCATTAACAAATACTGAACAATTATAGATAAATATTCCGTGCAAAAGGTGACATTAAGGTATTTAAAGCCATAAAAAGACTAATTCTTAGTGAAAAAGTCTCCGCAGCCTCTCGTGTTTAAATATTTTAGACAATTATGCATTTTGGAATTAAATAAACATGAGTTATGCCTTTCTTGATTCTAACCAGTACATACACAAGTTTGGAAAGATATATTGAGTAGGGAGGTATTTATGAAGGGCAGGTAGTGGAGAGGTTGAGATGAGGTTAGGTAATGGATGGGTACCAGGGGATTAGGTACTTTGGCCTATAATGGACATTGTTGCCTACCAGCACTCATTGAAACCTCCCAAATTGACCTCAATATTTGTTCTTAGACAATGTACTTAAGGAGAAACTGATCCCACTCTGAGTTCCATGGATGGGTCTTATTTTCCAGGAATAAATCCATACCCTTTCCTGCAAAGGGCTCTGGAATCCAGGTCCAAGTGCCATGGGGCTAGTTCAGGAATGGGCCAGTGAGATATTGACAGGAAGTTTGCTGAGGGCTTCTGGGAAGAGTTTGCTCATAACAATGAGCTACCAGAACTCATAGGCCCTCTTCATCTTGACATTCTTGTCCATATATGTGAGGGCTGGGGCTGTGGCTGTCATTTTGCTGGCAGCCCGAGGGTGAAGCCTACACGAGACGAGACAAGAGGAGAGCAAGACAGAGAACAACTGCAGAGAAGCAGGGCTGAGCCCTGCCTCACCTCCACCCTTCCTAAACCTTCTCAGTCTGTCAGCCTAGTGAACAGCCTTGATTTTAAGCAATTTTTACTTAAGATTTGTTTCTGGAAGCCAAGAAAAACATTTTAACCTATGGAATCCCAATTTATAGTTCCTTAATGTTGTTTTTTTATTTTTTAAAGAACACATTGAAAGATACAAAGAAGAAGATTAAAACCATCCATAATCCCATTATCCTTACATAACTTCTATTAATATTTTGAGTTAGTCTTTTTTGTTAATTTTTTTCCCCCAGGAAGACTCAGGTAAAACAAAGGTGTGTTCCCTAGTCTTTTCTTTATGCATACAAACTTACATAGATATTTTACATATGTTTATTCTGCTTTAATGAGACTCATACTATAGTGGGCAATAGAAACAAACAAACAGAAAACCAAACAAATGGATTGTTAATGGAAAAAAAACATCCAAACTCTATAAAATAATTTAAAGAGGTTTATTTTGAGCCAAATATGTGTGACTATGGCCCACAGAGCCACATCCAAGAAATCTTGAGCAAGTGGGCCTGAGGTGGTCGGGTTACGATGGTTTGGTTTTATACATTTTTAGGGAGACAAGAATTGAAGGTAAAACCATAAATCAATACGTGAAAGGTGTACACTGGTTTGGCCTGAAAAGGTGGGACACCTTGAAGCCAGGAGTAAGGGTGGGGAGATGAGGAGGTGGGGGTTGCAGGGCCTTACAGGTTATAGATAGGTTCAAAGATTCTTTGACTTGTAATTGGTTAAATAAATAAAGCTTTGTCTAAAGGCTTGGAATGTTTTAAGATAAGGGAATCTTAATCAGAGACAAGCTACAATATACTCAACATACGCAAGTGACCTGTTAAGCAAATTGATGGTCTGTGGGTGATTTAACCTCTGCCCTGCATGGTCTTAGGTCCTGTTAATAATTTAGTATCTTATTGTCACAAAGAGTTTGTTTTGTCAGTCTTATGATCTCTGTTCTAACATTAACACTGGTTAATTTTTGTATCTAAACTCCAAAAGGAAGGAGGTCTAACAAGACGTGTCTGACACCCCTTCCCTTCATGTCCAGGAACTCAGTTTTAAGGCTTTTCTGGAGTCACCATGGCCAAGAGGGGGTCTGTTTAGCGTTTAGTCAGTGGGGGCGGGAGACTTAGGGTTTTATTTTAGTTTACAGGATAAATATATGTGACTAAGGAAGGTTGTAATAATTATTAACCTATGTCCATTTTGGGGTCAGTTTTTTTAATAATGTTATATCCCATCTCTGTATCTCAGAACAAATCATCAAAGATTTTAAGTTAAAACTATTAAAATAAAATATACTTAGAGTATAATATAACAATGCCTCATAATGCCCACACAATCAACCAGTTATCAATATGTTCATTTGGTTCTCTTCAGCAGGTGGTGCTTCTTACTTATGGCAAGTTGTACCCTGTCAGTGACCACTCTGGCCCAACCCTCATTAGATTTTGCCTTAATGGTTTGCCCAGTATGTTCAATTTTTGTAAATGTTTCTTGAAAGGAACGTGTATTTTGCAGCTGCTGAGACACTGTTTTATACACATCTATTAGATTAAGCTTGGTCATTGTGTTATTCAACTCTTCTAGTCCCTTAAAAGATTTTTTGGTCCCCTTGATTTATACATTGGTTTCCTATAACTAGCTGCTGTAACAAATTATCACAAATGGGTGGCTTAAAACAACAGATGTGTATTCTCTCACAATTCTGGGAGCTAGAAGTCTGAAATCAGTGTGTCCGCAGGGTCACACTCCCTCTGGAAGCTCAAGAGACTTCATTCTTTGCCTCTTCCAGCTTTGAGTGGCTGTCAGCATTCCTTGCCTATGGCTGCATCACTTCAATCTCTGCTTTTGTGGTCGTATCACCTCCTCCTCTGTGTCTTCTGCTTGTCCCAAATCTCCTTTGCCTTTCTAAGGATACTTGTCATTGGATTTATGGCCCATCCCATAATCCAGGATGATCTCCTCATTTCAGTATCTTTAATTACATCTGCAAACATCTTTTTTTCCAAATAAGGGCACATTCACAAGTTCCAGTGATCAGGACGTGGACATGTCTTGTGGGGGGCCTCATGCAACTCATTGCAATTAGAGAGATATGTGAAAAATCACCTATTCTGATGGTGGATTTCTCCTTCTTGTTCTTCTGTCAATTTCTGCTTCATACATTTTGTAGCCATGTCATTAGAGACACATTTATGAGTCCCCTATCTTCCCTGTGTATTGGATCTTTTATTGTGTAGAGATCCTTCTTTATCTCCAGTTACACCCACCCACCCATCTACTTAGAAAGTCTGTTGGTGACAAAATATCAGTTGTTTGTCTGAAAAAGACATAATTCTTCTTCCTTCTTCTATTTTTCTTTTGCTGCGTGTGGAATGCTAAGGCTTTATGTTTTACCCCTTACCATTATCACTTAATTCTATTTTACTTAAAAAAAAAATCATTTTCACATCCCCAAACATCGAAGGGCCAGAGAATTAAAAACGTGTTGATTCAAAAAATGTATGCTATTGATTAAAATGAGGCAGCATTGTCTAAAACCGAATCATTGCAAGTGATTGGTGAAAACGTTCCATCAAATACAGTGCAGAATATATTGGGAAAGTATATGTAGAGAAGCCGAAACGAATGTGGATACTGAAGTACATGGGAGGTAACAATTTCTCAAGTGGCTGAAGTGATTCTTCACTTCACACTAATTACATACTTTGTGGAAATAAAAATTCACTATCTGCTGACTTAAGTGTAACAGAGGGTTTTTCTAGACAACTTATCACCAGTAGCTAGAAAAAGCTTCACAATAAACAATCATATTCTCATATGATATACTACTAGTATTGCTATAATTTGAGCATGCAGATTAACTCTGAAGAATGAAGGAAATTATAATAGAATGCACAATTTTCTTCTTTGGCCTTCACACGCAACCTCCAATTTGTAGTCAGATTTGTGAAACAGTGCAGGAAGCTTGGCATTTTTTTAAAAGCTGCATTTCTGGCCTCAGTGTGTGGAGGGGTCATGGAACTTTAAAAACACCCACGAATATCTCAACGCATTTATTTTCTCCGCCACCCTGCTATGTGTGATTCAGTTTTTATTCTCAGAGGGTTTGGGTCACCGCGCAGAGGACCGGGCCCAGCAGCACTCCGACCAAAGGCTGCTCAAGGCGGCCCGACCCGTTCACATCTGCGACCCTGGGTCCTATATCTGTCCCAAGCAAAGGCCAGGCCTGCGAGGCACTCAGAGGCGAGAAGGCCCGATAGGCGAGGGGAGCGCGAAAAAACACATCCCAAAGACTGGCCAGTGCCACAGCGACCGTCAAGCCCGGCTTTGCGCGCATGTTCAAGTGCTGGCCGGCTCCTCGTCGTCTTGGTAACCAGGCTGCGAATGCGAATGCGCGTGCGCAAACCAAACTCCTTTATCACGTGAGGCCAGGCAGGGGGCGGGGTCGAAGAATGCCAGTCCGGACCCGTCGCGCCACACCTCTCAACGCCGGGCCGAGGCGGGACGAACCTGTGCCCTATTGCGTGGGGCTGACTCGCAGCTCCCGCCCCTTTTCGATCTGCTTTCTCGCGGCTAGTCTCTGGCACCACGTGTCCTCCTGGCCACTCCCCCAGCAGCCCTTTCCAAGTCCCTGTTGGAAGCCGCTGTAAAATGTCGTGAGGGACGCCGCTGCTTTACGGCTGCCTCTCCCAGACGCGAGCCCCGGAGCGCCCACCGCCGTCAGCCGTGTCTCTAAGCGAGTCGGCTCTGCCGAGATCAAGGGATCCGGCGCGCCGCTGTAGTCTCCGCTGCGCCTGTTCCGGTCCCTGGCGATGTGAGCTCGTGGAGGCAGCGGTGCCCCCTGGCCCGGGGTTGAGACGGGCGGCAGGTGCCTGTGAAGCGGGCGGGTGCCGGGGGCCAGCAGGATGGAGGAAAGCATGGAAGAAGAGGAGGGGGGCAGCTACGAGGCGATGATGGACGACCAGAACCACAACAACTGGGAGGCCACCGTGGACGGCTTCCGGCAGCCCCCACCACCTCCGCCGCCCCCCTCGTCGATCGCAGCCACTGCCCGAGAGCCTCCGGGGGGGCAGCTGCTGGCGGTGCCCGCGGTCTCCGTGGACAAGAAGGGCCCCAAGGAAGGGTTCCCGATGGGGCCGCCGCCACCGCCGGAGGCCAATGGGGTGATCATGATGTTGAAGAGCTGCGACGCGGCCGCAGCTGTGGCCAAAGCGGCCCCCGCCCCCACCGCCAGCTCCACCATCAACATCAACACCTCCACCTCCAAGTTCTGTGAGTCCAGCCTTTCCCCAGCAGCCTTGGCTTTTCTCCTCCCCACTCGGACGCCGAATCCACCCCCTGTTGGAGCAGCCTGGCTTCCTTTGTTTCAGGGTTGGGTCTCTCTTCTCCTCTTCTCTTCCCGCCCCACCTCCCCCCTTGTTTGGTGTCTGCGGCCAGCGCCTAAGCGGCCCTGGCTTCTTGTATTACCTGGCCTAGAGAGGAAGCCTGGTACACACGCAGTCCCAAGTTCTCCTACAAACTCGATCCTTATCACAACTGGCTATCTCTCAACATTGGAGAGCTCTTTTCTCATCTATCTTCCCTTAAAGTTTCACCCTTAAAGCTGAGGGGAAAAATAAGGCTGCCTGAGTTTCGTTAGGAAATGGCCTTCAGTCTTTTTTTGCAGCCAGAGAGAAAAGAAATCTGGCAACTTGTGTTCTTGTGCTTTTAGCCGGTCTGTGTTAAATAAGTCAGGAATTTGAAAGTTGACCCATATTTACACCTTGTTCTTTCTCTTCTATGTACGCCTTTGCATCCTGCTAGGGAAACGTGCTAGTTGCTTCCCAGTGCAGTGGCAGCTGCGACGTTTTGAAGCTAATGCATAAAATCACTTTTCGGAGCATACACTCATAAGAATAAGCCATTTAACACGTGTCCAAACCGAAGCTTCTGGTGCACGCTGAACTTTGTTATGTTAGTGACCTGTGTTAACGCTCAGTTGCAGGTGGAAAGATTTAAGACCAAAATCTGTTTGTAATCTGAAATTCCCTCCAACCACAATCTGTGCTTCCATAGCTAGGAAAAGAATGTGCTTTTGCTTTGAGTGGGTTTTTTTTTTTTTTTTTTTTTTTTTTTTGCTAGTGGGGTGGTGAGAATGAATGTGACCGTCACAGCCAGGTTTTTCTCTCCTATTATTAACTGCAAGTTTTGAATGGCATCTGGTAAAGCAACTGGAGATTTCATTTCTAGTTACTAATTTTATCAAGCTGTACCAGTAAGTTTCCAGTTAGCTGTGCAGAGAAAATATTTGCCTTGCTAAAGATATAAAGTCACAATTTACACAAATTTTTTTTTTCGTGTGTGTGGGAATAGCACTTGATCTTATTTGCCTTCAAGATACTACTTTAGTCAAAGACACTGATATGTAGGTATGATTGGTAAGATTTGTATATGATTTTTTTCTCCTATTATGCAAACATGGGAATAACGTTTATATTGTTTGTGTGTTGAATACTGTGCCGTGAAACCAGATGTTGTACAGAGTGGCTGGGTGACTTACTTAATGCTGAAGGAAGCTTGCTTTAGTGCCTAGACAAAGTTCATTTGAAGAGTTCAAAAAACAGACTAAAGTTAAGAGCAGGAATCAGTGAAATTGAGAACAAAAGAACAATTTGCCAAACCAAAAGATTGTTCTTTGAAAAGGTTAATAAGCTAGACAGACCTCTGATAAGAATGATCAAAAAGATGCAAATAAATGAAAAATGGAAAATAACTATAGATTAAAAAAGAATATTATGAAAAACTATAGGTTAATACATTTGAAAGCCTAGATGAAATGTATAATTCTTAGAAAACTATTAACTGTGAAAATTGGTATCATAAGAAATAGATAGCTTGAATTGACTAATAAATTGAAGTAGTAAAGACTTCTCCTTTTAAAAACTCTTGATCCAGATACTCTTATAAGTGACTTCCATCAAACTGTAACACTTAATCCCTTTTTACAAGTTATGGAAAATGGAAGGGAGAGATACTAGGCTCATTTTATAAGGTTAGTGAAATCATGATTCTAAAACTAGATAAAGACAATGTAAAAAGAGAAAATTACAGGTCTGTTTCATTTGTTAGCATAGGAATGAAAATCCTACGCAAAGTACTAGCTCATCAAATCCAACAGTGTGTTAAAAGAATCATGATGCATAGTTAGTCCTAGGAATTTAAGCATGGTTCAACATCTATTTATCTATTAATGTAATTTATCTCATTAATAGACTAAAGGAGAAAAATCGTGATTATCTCAATTGGTGCCATAAAATCATTCAATAAGATACAGTACCTATTTATGATGAAAACTCTTAGCAAGGTTAGGAGTACAGGATAACTAGATAAAGGTCATCACCAAAACCTTACAGTAAATAATAATACTTAGTGAAGAAATTTTAGATACATTCACTTTAAGATTGCTCCCATCACTACTGCTGTTTGATATGGTAAGAAAGGTCCTGGCTACCACTATAAGGGAGGAACAATAAGGCATAAAGATTGTAAAGGAAGCAATAAAACTCATTATTTGCAGATAATTTGATCATCTACCTAGATGAAACATTAGAATCAAGAGAGAAATTGTTAAAACTATTAAGAGTTTAACAGGATTGCTGGATTTAAGATCAGCTTACAAAAATTGATAGCATTTACTAAACTAGTGATAAACAACTAGTAAAGGTAATCACAAGTAAATGTATACAATAATAGCAACAAAACTATAAAATCTCTAGAAATTAACCCAAGATTACACAGTGCCTTTAAGGAGAAAACTTTAAAAAGAAACTAGAAGATGATCTAAATAAATACAATTTTCCATGCTCTTGGATTAAATTATTTATTATCATAAGAATGTCAGTTTTCTCTATTTTAATCCATAAATTAAATTTAAATGCCATGAAAATTACATTTGGTTTTCTTGCCAAACTCAGTAATCTATATCTAAAATTTATATGGTGGGTGGAATAAAGTTTGTGAATAACTAAATCAATCTTAAAGATTTGTTTTTTGGTGGGGGGAGGCTTGCCTTATCAAAAGTTAAGATAATATTTCAAGGCTGTAGTAACAAAAACTGGTGTGAGTACAAGAGCAGAAAAATAGACTAAGAGACAAAGTAGAGGGCAGAGACTTACCTGTATATGTATATTTGGGAACTTAAGATAAAGGCGGTTGAACTGGGCAGGGTGGCTGTAATTACAGCTATTTGGGAGGCTGAGGAGGGAGGATCACTTGAGCACAGGAGTTCAAGACCAGCCTGGGCAACATAGCAAGACCCCATCTCTATATAAAAAGAAAGATAAAGGCGTCATCATAAATCACTGGAGAAAGAAGTCTTCTTGTTAGGGAGACTGCTCACTATATGGAGAAAAAACAAATTTAACACCATATATAGGCTGGACTCTGAATGAATTAAGACCTAAATGTGTAAAGAACAACTATCAAGTTAATAGAAAATGTTAAAGAACCTTTTTCCCTAGAGACAAGGAAGGACTTATTAAAACCTTGAAAGCTTATAAAGGTGAAAAATTAATGATTTTAATTATATAAAAATTAAGGATTTCTATTTAGCAAAGGACAAATAAAAGAATGAGGAAGATATTTACCATGCCTGAAATTGACAAGGGATTATTATCTGATTAGACATTATTAATCAACAATAAGAGCAACAACCTCTGCAGAAAAAGACAAAGGGTATTCATAAGTAGTTTACAGAATAGGAAATCCTGACAAGAATAAGAAGAGAGGAAATTATTAATAATTAGAGACATGTAAATTAAAACAGTGGAGTGTCTTTTTTTACCTATTAGGATGACAAAAATTAGAAAGCTGTGATATAATAGTGCCAAGTATAGGGATATGGAGCTATAGGAAAACTCATACTTGCTGGTGAGAGTAACAGTGTAGTGAGTGGACTTGTGAGATATTGAGATGCTCAAAGTCTCTGTGGACCAGACAATGAAAGATAGCTGGAGTGTTGATATAGCCCTGAGCTATGACAGCAAAGGTATGCTCAGGACTGTAAGGTGGAAACAGCTTCTGGTGGTCTCTGTTTTGGGATAGAGAAAAAAAGCATTTGTTAGCTTGGTTGATACATACTAAGTGCGAGGGCTGGTGTTAATTTGTCCCAGTGAAGAGACCATATCTGGAGCAGCAACTAAGATTGGAGTCATCACTGGATATAATTTACTGTAATCCACAGTCGTTCTCCTTGGAGAATGGACCCATCTTGTCTGCTCTGGCCAGATAGGCTAGTGAAATCAAAATGTCGTAACAGTCACCATTCCTATCTTTTAAGTCTTTGAAGTTGGTAGTGTTTTCTGTAGTTCCTACAAGGATGTGACGTTTCTTGCTTTGTGTTTAGATTTTGGTAGGAAGGGGCACACCTAAAGGATTCCACTTGGCACTTTCCTCACTGACAGTCCTGACTTCATAGGTCAGGGAGCCATTAGCTTCTGTTCAGGAACTGGGGAAGTATCAGGGTGTGACCATGGCCCCACTGCCCCACTGTGAGATGGATTGAGGCCAAAGCACTGTTTATCACATGATGTCCATAAACCCCTGAAGTGCCTATTATAATCATCATTTCCACTTTATATCTGAGAGTTGTTTCTACTTACCCTTTGCCACTTTGGAAACTGAGCTATCCTATTGAAATCAGGGAGCCCCTTTTAATGGCAGTATTGTCCTTTAACCCAGAACTGCAAAGGACAATCTCCACAGCATTTTCTAAGGATATTAGTGTATCCCTCACCAATGTATTTCTCAATTACTTGGTGAGAGACCTTCTCAGAGCACAATTAGGGGGTGTGTGTGTTTGTGTGTGTGAGAGAGAGTGAGAGAGAGAGAGAGAGAGAGAGAGAGAGGGTTAGTATATGATAAATTCACTCTTTTTTTTTTTTTTTTTGAGACAGAGTCTCACTCTGTTGCCTGGGCTAGAGTGCCGTGGCGTCATCCTAGCTCACAGCAACCTCAAACTCCTGGGCTCAAGCGATCCTCCTGCCTCAGCCTCCCGAGTAGCTGGGACTACAGGCATGCGCCGCCATGCCCGGCTAATTTTTTGTATATATTTTTAGTTGTTCAATTAATTTCTTTCTATTTTTAGTAGAGACGGGGTCTCGCTCTTGCTCAGGCTGGTTTCGAACTCCTGAGCTCAAACAATCCGCCCGCCTCGGCCTCCCAGAGAGCTAGGATTACAGGCGGGAGCCGCCATGCCGGGCCTCTTTTTTTTTTTTTTTTAATTTACTTTTTAA